TTGTTAAAAAAATAATTAATTAAAATAATTAGTAATTAAAATTGAAGATTAGATTATATTAGATTTTATCAACTCTCTTTCATGTATCCTATTTGTTGTAAGTATGAAATATTCGTAGGATAAGCCTCATCAACATGAATTATATTATATTTATATATTCATATCTTTATATCATTTATTGCATTTAAACATTTATATTATTCATATCATGAATTTTTAAAATTATATTAAATTAATTATTAAAATTATATTTTTTGATTCTACTTGTTAAAAATAACGATAGATAACAAAATAATAAAAAATTAATGATTCTACAATTTAAATTTCAACTATTATTATATTTATGTAAAATAAGATATATTTTACTTAAAATGTACCTAAATGTACACTGTATATTTTATTTTATAAAGTTATTATATAAGTCCAAGTGACATATCTAGATCTTTTTAAAATAATTAATACACCAAAAATTTAACTGATATAAAAAATATATATTTGCAATACATATAAATTTATAATATTAATTAAAAAAACAAAAGAAAAAATAACCATAAATTTAAAAAAAAATATAATTGAATTGTATAAATCAAGATCATCTTACATAGAATGTACGTAAGATATCAGTGAGATGATATCTTGTTTTAGGATGTAATGGGTTCAGATAGAAAATACAAGTTTAATAAAATGAAAAATTTTCTTTTTTTGCATAAAACATTTCCATATTGTTTACATATATTTCAAAAATTTCTAAATATCTTTCGTGAAATCATTCTTTTTATAAATCAAACAATGGATCCAATCTTGTTTTGTAATATTCCTTACATCTCATGCATTTATTTATATATTTATTTATAATATAATATTTATCTTTTTTCCAAGAATGTCATCATTTGCTTATATTTTTGAAAAATCTAAAAATTTCCACCAAAAAATATATTAACTATTTTCTATCTGTTTAATTCTTTTAAATGTTTCGTTCCTTTTTTTGTTTGAAATTCTTTCAATTGTAGATAGAATTTATTTTATTGATACTTCTATTATCAATGTTTTCGGGAGATATTAAAATAAGAATTTCTGATTTGCTGAATTGTATCCATTGAGATACTGGATATTGAATTAATCTGATTTAATAATGTATCTGTTATCTCTGTTATAGAAATTTTTATATTAAGTTCGGATTTCATAAATTTATTAACATTTTGTTATAATCTTTCAATCAAATTATTGTTTTAATCATTATTTTGATCATTGTTCTTCATTTAAGAAAATGCAATTTGGAATGACATTTAGATTAAATTAAATAAATATTTTTATGATGATGTTAGCTTCAAGCTATTCGTGGAGCTACGGAATTTAGTTAAGAAATTATTATTACAAAGTTCGTTGTTAAGTATGTTCGATTCACTTCAAACGTGGTAAAATTTCTGTGTATGTGATAGTTCACAGTATCACAGAGTACGAAGATACAAGTTCGATGAGTTCGTGAGTTCTTGGTAGTTCTTGTGTTGAATAGTTTTTGAGTTCTTTCTCCATGGTGAAAAGGATGTGCGAATAGTTCTTGAATCCGCGTAACTGACTAATTTCCTTGAGATTCTCGCCCCGTTTATAAGGGTTTTCTCCCAAGCTTGATATGCCTTGTTGAGCGATATCCCGGTCCAAAGAAAGTTCTCTATAATGACTCTAAAGGGCTACGACTTCTACTTCTAAATCTACTATTACTTCATAAATCCATAAATCCATTGTTTACTAAGAAGTTATTCCGTATTTGTTTGCAATGTTTTCCCTTTTGTAAATTGATGTTAATTGCCGATGGGATTGGCTATAAAGCTATTAAGACCATATTGATATATCCAGTATAAGTGAAAACTTCCAAATATGCAAGACAATTTACAGAAATTCTCATTGACAAACTGCATTATTCCTGCAGCATCATCCTAAGCATTTGTCCATGTCTATATACCATATGTTCATTTGTCTGAACAGATGAATTATGTAAAAAATCAAAAAAAAAAATTATCTAAAAATAGAGAGTGATTTATTTATTTTTTTTCAATAATTGCACAATAATATTTCATCATACAAATATAAACATAATTTCTAAATATTAGATTAATACATTACATTTTAAAAAAATTACTTTTTAGTAAAATGTTAGTAAATTCTAATTTAAAATGTATATAAAATGTTTTGAGAATATTATAACAATAAAACTCTATATAATATATAACAATTTTTATATTACATATTATTTTTGATTTTTATATGATTTTTTTAATTAAATTAATTTTTAAACAAAATCAACAATTAATATATTTTGCAATAAACAATATATTATCAAAAATAATTAAAAATCAAAATAAATCGATTGTGTTCTATAAATCGCTATCTTATCTAAAGATTATCGCATTCTACAATACATTTAATTCAAATGAAATATATAACTATAAAATAATTATATATTTCAAGTATATACCATTCAAATATAACTATAAAATTTTATTTCAAATTTCATTTAAATATTAAATGTAATTAAATAAATATATCTTGCGGATGATGATATAATCTTGAAGAAAATAATTTTATATGAAAAAATAAATCGAATAAATTTTTTTCAATATTCATAAGATATATTATATAATTGATAATTAATCCAACTTACTAAAAAAGAATCCAACCAGAAAAAAATCAATTCATCAAAATATCAATTCATATAATATATCTTGAATATCATTTATTTAAAATATATTAAAAAATATTATATATAAAATTATAAAATTTAAATATTAATATTGAATATTAATTATTAAATTTAACATTTTCAGGTCATTTATATTGTAACGGTAAAATAGAGTGTGCAGATGGTAGCGATGAGAAAAATTGCACGACCAAAGCTATTGGTTGCGATCCATCGACACAATTCGAATGTAGCGAAGGATCATGTATTTCTCTTTCTAGTGTATGTAATAAGAATCGCGATTGTATTAATTGGGAAGACGAAAATGAGAAGCTTTGTGGTGTAAATGAGTGCTTAAAAAACAACGGCGGGTGTTCGCAAATTTGTATCGATTTGCCTATTGGTTTTCGATGCGATTGCAGTGCAGGATATAGATTAATTGATAATCGAACTTGTGATGGTAATATATTTTTAATAATATCCTCATTATTACTAAAATTATATCTATTATATCGATAAATCATTTTTATTAATTATTAATTTGTTTGTACATATAATTATTTATTTAATTTATTAAAAAATATAATCCATATTTATATGATAATAAAAATTGAAATAATTAATATAATGAATGATTAATTAATAAATGTTTTCCATTTTTAAGCAAAATTATTTTTATATAGTAATAAAATTTTTAATAATGAAAATATTATATATATAAATATTTTTTTCTTAATATATATATATAAATAATATAAAATATTTCTTATTTTAGACATAGACGAATGTTTAGAACCAGGTACTTGTTCTCAATTCTGTTTGAACGAAAAAGGCAGTTTTAAATGTAGCTGTGCCGCGGGTTATCTTAAGGATCCTAGCAATCATACACGTTGTAAGGCGGCAGAAGGTCATGCTAGTCTTCTTTTTACCAGAAGACATGATATAAGAAAAGTAGCATTGGATCGTCTGGAGATGACAAGTATAGTGAAAGATACGAAAATGGCAGCAGCCTTGGATTTCGTTTTTCGTACGGGTATGATCTTCTGGAGCGATAGTAGTGAAAAAAAAATCTATAAGTAAGCAATCGTGATCGATATTTTCAGAATTTTTCAATTCTTTCTATGTTTCATATGTATTTCTTATTATATTTTGCTATCTAGAGCTCCAATAGATGAAGGAAATGAGCGTACAGTTGTAATTGATGATGGTTTGACAACATCAGATGGATTAGCTGTTGATTGGATATATAGTCACATCTATTGGACTGATTCTAAAAAAAACACCATAGAATTGGCTAATTTTGAAGGCAATATGAGAAAAACTTTGATTCAAGATCACATACAAGAACCAAGAGCAATAGCTTTGAATCCATTGGAGGGTTGGATGTTTTGGACTGATTGGAGCGATGAAGCTCGTATCGAAAAAGCGGGCATGGATGGATCTCATCGAACGGTAGATCTATAATAAAATTGGAATTAGAAAGAATCAATTTTAAAATAATTTTCTTAAAAAGCAGAGTTTCTTTTTAACAATTTCAATCAGAATTATAATCTGAAAAATTAATAATAATAAATTGAATGATTAATAAGTATTTTTATTTCATCAAAAATATACATTTTTAACTTTGCATATTTATAAAACAATTTTTTAAAATTAAAATTATTAAAATAATATGTTAATTAGTATTATAAATAAAGAATATTAATAAATAAAGAAATTGTGAATAAGTTTAATATTAAGATAATAGGATTAGTATTAATGAATAAGAAGTATTAATAGATGAAAAAATTTATAGATAATTTTCTTTCATTTAAAAAAATTCATTTTTTCTTATATTATTATATTAATTTTGATATAATTATAGTTTTAAAATAATTACTGATTTAAGAATAAAATTTTTGATTTAAAAATAAAATTGCAAAATATTTATTTGCAGGTGATAGTTGATAATGATGTACAATGGCCTAATGGGTTGACTTTGGACTTAATTGGCAAAAAAATATATTGGGTAGATGCGAAATTGTATATAATTGGATCTTGTAATTATGATGGTACAGGTATCCGAACAATTCTATATTCTCCGGAAGTATTGAGACATCCCTTCAGTATTACAACATTTGAAGATTATGTTTATTGGACTGACTGGGACAAGGAAGCAATATTTAAAGCAAATAAGTTCACTGGTCAATCAGTTGAAGCTGTTATGTCGCTTCGAGCTCTTAAATATCCAATGGTTGTTCATGTGTATCATCCATATAGACAGCCAGATGGAATGAATCAGTGTCAGGCAGTAAATGGCCATTGTAGTCATTTATGTTTACCAGCACCAAGAATTAATTCTAAATCACCTCTTCTTAGTTGTGCTTGTCCGGATGGCCTAAAATTATTACCTGATGGTTTAATGTGTGTGGAAAAAGGTAAACTATGACTTATAATATTAATTATTTTTAAATAAATTATATGCATTGGTTTAATATGTATTTATTGATTGAAATCAATAAAAAAAAAAATCAAAATTAGAATATTGCATGCTATATTATAATAAAAGAATTCAATGCTTTAAATATAAATATAAAATGTTAATAGAAAGCATGTTTAAAATTTTTTTTGTTATTGAATTGCATTTTGAACATTCTTTTTTTTAATTTTTAAATCATACAATTATTATATTTATATTTTATGTTTTTTATTATTTATTATAATTATTTTGCATCGATGTTGCATGAATATGGAATATCCAGTAAGTACAACTGTAGCACCTACAACACAAGAAATTAATAAACCATTCAAGAGACTTGAACTTCTCAATATTACAACTACGACTATTCGTAAGTATATTTGCACTTTTTTGAATTTTCTTTTACGATACGATTTTATTATATTTGATCAAAAAGTTTTGATTTTGATTTAATGCTATGTATCGTATATAATGATAATATAATCCATTTATTATGCGAGATACATATAAATTTTCTAAATTATTAAAGTTCTTAAAAGTAATTTTATATACATATATGTATATATAATAAAAGTTTTTATAATTATAGTTTTTTTAAATTAATTATGTATACTATTATGTATATCTATATTATGTATATCTTTGTTTCTCTTATTTCATCAAATAATTTATTTTAGATTCGATACATTCAATAGATGGAGATGAGGAAGATGGTTTGACATCTGAATCAACAGATCCTGGTTTAGTCGCTGGCATAGTGATAGGTGTGACGTCCTTAGGATTATTACTTCTCGCATTAGTAGCAGTATTATGTTATAGGCACTATCTTCATCGTAATGTAACGAGTATGAACTTTGATAATCCTGTGTATAGAAAAACCACAGAAGATCAATTTAGTCTTGAAAAAAATAGGTTTCCACTCCCTACTGCTACAGTTGGAGAAGAGGTAATTACTGTGTCTAATGTATTATTTTGTTAAACAAAATCATGTATATCATAATTTTTTTATTTAATTTTAATAGGCTCAGGAACCTTTAACGAGTCCTGGAACTAATGATTACGTTTAAGAATGAATTTGTCAATGAAATGGGCTCAACAGGCTATTGAAATATATCGACCAAATAATATAAAATGATATATTAAAAAAGCAAAAAACACATGTCGAGTAGGCCTGTTCAATAATATGCCTGTATTTGCCCATCCGCCTGCCAACTCAGCTGTGATTATGTTTATTTTTTGTATTGTTCTCTATTTCTTTATAAATTCGTGCATCTTGTCATTCAATTATCATTATATGTATGTGCAGCATTTAGATTTGCTTCAAGGCATAAAGGGAGAAATACTTGATATTGATTACTATTGTTGTCAAATAAACATTTAAGCGTCAGTTTTTGGATAATTAGATACGATAATTAGAAAATACGATAAAATCTTATTTTCTTTTGATATATGCAATAACATTATGTTATAACATGTTATATATATATATATATATATATATATATATATATATATATATACAGTATTTTTTTATTTAATTTTAATAGGCTCAGGAACCTTTAACGAGTCCTGGAACTAATGATTACGTTTAAGAATGAATTTGTCAATGAAATGGGCTCAACAGGCTATTGAAATATATCGACCAAATAATATAAAATGATATATTAAAAAAGCAAAAAACACATGTCGAGTAGGCCTGTTCAATAATATGCCTGTATTTGCCCATCCGCCTGCCAACTCAGCTGTGATTATGTTTATTTTTTGTATTGTTCTCTATTTCTTTATAAATTCGTGCATCTTGTCATTCAATTATCATTATATGTATGTGCAGCATTTAGATTTGCTTCAAGGCATAAAGGGAGAAATACTTGATATTGATTACTATTGTTGTCAAATAAACATTTAAGCGTCAGTTTTTGGATAATTAGATACGATAATTAGAAAATACGATAAAATCTTATTTTCTTTTGATATATGCAATAACATTATGTTATAACATGTTATATATATATATATATATATATATATACATATATATATATATACACAGGGTGTTTAAAAAAAATATGGGACACCTTTGAAGGGTGGATTCTAGACATCAAAACGATAAAAAAAGTTCATATACACATATGTCCGATAAGACTTAATTAAAGAGTTATAAGCATTTTATATAAGTTTTTATTAGATAGAGCGAGATGACGAAAGAGCGAGAACGCTCAGCTGAGTGCACAACAGTATTGTATTGCAATGTTGCTTGTGTAGCAGAGCCGATGAAAATAAATATATTGACATTTTTTTATATTTTACAATTGATTATTTCAAATGAATTTCAATATAAGATAATATACATAAATATCGAGTAATGTAATTATGTAATATTTTTATATTATTTAAAAAAAAAATTTAATTATGCAAATTGAAATCTATATAATTAGTTATTTAATAGAAACTTACCTCAGACAAATTATAGCAAATTCCACAATATTTGGAATATATGATTATAGGAGTTATAATGATTATACAATATTTTATTTAAAATCATAAATGAATCATTATATTTCATTCAACCTGCCGTATCAAAATCCATAGAAACAAATCAAAATACATTTCTATAACATTTCGAATTAGAAAGGTTGAATATGTTTTTATATACACAATTGCTTTTTTAATTATTTTTATACACAAGAGAATCCAAAATTGTAATGATATTTGAATCAATTTGAATTTCAGATTATTAAATTATCCAATCAAATCAGTGACAAATATTTATCTTTATTTCACTTGCACTAAATATTTTTCATTCTTATGCAGAGAGAAATAATAGTCGATCTGGATATCACTTATTAATAATATAAATCAATATTACATGAATTAATATCACATATTCACAAAAAATACATACATATTACAATTGCTTTTTTATGTATACTTGGATGATAATATAAATTCATTAATTTTTTTTTTTTACACTTTTATTTTTAATATAATTATTTCGTATTCTTATACTTAAAACACACAAATATAACATTTGATTTCGAATATTACTATCTCATTTTTCTATCAAGTCTCCTTCTCTAACGTCCAGCATTCAATTGTTAGCAATGCTATTTTAGTAACACATTGTCGCATCGCGGAGTCAGTTCAGAATTTGATGAAATAATACATACTTGAATATTTGTTTAAAATAAAATTTTAATTAAATAATTTTCATATAAAATTAAATTGTACAATAATAAATAATAATCGAAATAATTTTATTTAAACAAATTAATGTGAATAGTGAATAAGCAAAAATCTAATATGCAATAGTAATATGAAAAAAAAATACAATGTTTATATGATTTTTTTAGTAGATATAAGATAGTGGCATTATTAGTATTATATTAAAATATAGATATTGAATTTCAACTTTTCTGTTTAATAATCTCATATCATAATAAAAAATATTGAATTTAAGTATAAGTAATAGGGAGAAAAATTTTTCAATTGATCTATGAATTTCAAATTGTTTCAAGTATCACACTTTCTTATACATGTGAGGATAAGCAAATTTATATGTAAAAAATACATTCAATCTTTCTAATCTGAAATCTTATCGGAGTGTTTTGGGAGTGATTTGCTTCTATGGATTTCGGTAAGTAGACAGATTGTCATACAACGATTTAACTATGGATTTAATTATATATTTGTATCATAAAATAATTTATCTATGGATTTATATAAAATGTATATGTTAATATTCTGGAAAAATTCATAAAATATTCGAGGTAAATTTTTGTTAAATAAAGAGTTACATAAAGAGTTAAATAAAGTATGTTATTATATTACACTGAAATTCATTTGAAATAATCAATTGTATAAAAAGTATCAATATATTTATTTTCATCGAGGCTTCGCTACACAAGCGACATTGCAATACTGTATTGCCGCGTATCTAGCTGAGTATTCTTGCTCTTTTGTCATCTCACTTTATCTAATAGAAGCTTAAAATGCTTATAACTCGTTAATTAAGCTTTATGGGACATATGTGTATATGAACTTTTTTTATTGTTTTGATGTCTAAAATCCACGTTTCAAGATGGTTCTACGTTCCACGTTAAAGATGTCCCACATTTTTATTAACACCCTGTATATGAGATAAAAAGGAAAAGAGCGAGCAAGCAAGCTAGCCAGAAAGAAAGAATGAGAATGAAAGCAAAAGTGAAAGTGACCGAATAAGTGAGTGAGTGAAAGTGAGTGAATGAGTGAATGAGTGAGTAAATTAGAGAGTGAGTGAGAGAGAGAATATATTTTATGTATGAAAATCTTTAACTTGTTATCGTTTAACTATTTATTTTTTAAGAATATATTTTTTTTGCGTTTCTTTTTTAATTAAATATATTATTATATTATTAGAATTATTATATATGTTTATGATAGAAAAATATATAATAAAAAATAATTTTGAAAATTATTATTAATATCAATAATGAATTATCAAAAACTTTGATTTTTAATTTGATAATTATTTATATTGTTTTTTTACATATATCGTACGATACTTTATGATGCCAGAAAAGTGTTCCAATTTTCAGATTTATTAATATTTATATCAAGATATATTTTCCTAAACAATTGAAAAAATTTTTCTTTAATATATTATAAATTTACTAATATTTTATAATATTATAATAATTATTATATTAATTTTAATTAATACAGTAATTTAAGTATATAAATATGTAAAATGTTTTTTTTTATATGAATACAAATTTCTCCTTTTATGTCATTTACGTGATATATAAGCAATATGTTTTCAACATATTCATAGAATTTTTTTAACAATCGCCTGTGTTTATATAAGTAGTTTATATTATAGTAAGACACTTCTCGTCAATATATTCTGTCTATATTATATTTGTATAAATACATATATGAAATAAATTAAAATTCAATTAGATATAATAAGATCAGCTCAATGACACTAAGTATGACTGTGTGTCTATTAAAAGTAAAATTGTTGTTTAGATATTTCATTCTATTAAAAAAAAAATCAGTGTATATGTATAGAATTGTCGCCTCAAGTTTATGTAAATGTATTACATATACTTTATAATATTATTGTATCAAATAATTAAATAGAAAGACAGAGATTCTTATACGTAAAATTAAAAAGTATAATAGCACAAATTAAGATTTTTGTATATTAAAAAGTAGCAATATGTTTTCATTATCTATGCTATATGATTTTGTTATAAATAATAGAAGACAGAGATTCTTCTACGTAAAATTAAAAAGTATAATAGCACAAATTAAGATTTTTGTATATTAAAAAGTAGCAATGTGTTTTCATTATCTATGCTGTATGATTTTCTTATAAATTTTAATTCAATAATCAGTTTTAATTTTTAAGTGGAAGAATTCAATTAACTAAATGCAATAAGAATTTCATTCAAAAATAATTTAATTAATCTAAAATAATATTAATAACAAAAAGATTTAAATAAGAATAAATAAAAAAGAATTTCGCTTTAATTATATTAAATAGATTATATTAAATAAATTATATTAAATTTTATTGAAAATTATATTTTTCAATAACATTTATATTAATAATTTATTAATACAGGATGATATAAATAAGCAAAGATAACTTTATGTGAAAAAATAAGAAAAAAAAATCGGTATAATATTTTTTCCTTTGAGACTTTATGAAATAACTTTGAAAATTGATATTTGCAAATTGAATACCATTTGGTTATTATTGTTTCTCTCTGAATTAGAATTCATAAAGTTCTTAATTTTAGTTTATATTTTCATTTATAATATAAATTTATAATATAAATAAAATTTATAATATAATATAAATTTTTTAGTTATATGAAAGAATAAATGTACAAAAAGAATGTACACATTTGAAATAGAAAATTTTTAAAAAGTTTGAAAAATTAAAAAGAGATGATATATTATAATTTCTTCAATCATTTTTCAATCAATTCGTTGATTGTATGCAACGAGAAAAATTGATAATAATATATTAATATTTTTGACAATATAGAATTTCATTTATATAAATCTGCGACAGATAAACACATGCATTTATATAATAAAAGTTCTAATTTACCAAATGTAATTTTTTGTTCAATTAATAGAAGTTCATTTGGCATTTTTCTAAAATGTATAATGATATATTAAATATTATAAATTTTGCAATAATTTTCCAAGATGAATTTTGCAATAATTTTTTAATACTTCTCTGATGTTTAATGAATAATTTTTTATTTTATATCATAGATATAATGTAT